GTGGGTGACCTCATGATGGCGAGGTGATTGACGAGCGCGTCAGCGCTCGTCAATCACCGAGAACCCAATAGTTGCGTTCGTCTGGTCGTTCGCTTTAAAACTACGTATCATTTGTATTATAGGTTACTATGGAAACCTATATTGTTTTTGCTCGAAGATTTAAAAAAAAAATTCCTTATTTTTGTTTTTTTTTTTTTTTTTCTTCTGCACTTTGAACCTTAATTTGACCCCCTGAACATTGATGAAAAGTTGTGAAATTTTGCCCAAAATTCAGAACCGGTGAAAAATAATTTTTTTTGGTGTTTTTATGGGACTAAAAAAATGTCAGAATAGCGCCCCCTACTAAAGTCAGTTTACATTGCGCCTATGGGAGGTGGTCGAAGGTCAAGTTTGTCGTAGAGCCACGAAATTCGGTACACATGTTCCTCAGGTCAAGACATGAAAAAAAAGTTATTATGGCTCCGCCCCCTGACAAACAGGGAGCTCATTAATTTAATTGGGAAATGGAGAAATGAAAATTGATCTTTTTCACACATGTCGGCTGGAAATTATCTCCTCCTCGGCCGTTTCACCGATTTGTCTCAAAATCGCTCCACATGGTCTAAACCCATGTCCTATCTATTATTTAATATAGAATTTGGATCAATTAAACGTTGTCCGAGCAGCGGAGCGGCAAAATGTGACATTTTTTTGGGGATTTTTGACAAAAGTAAATTTGCTCCCGTTTGCACAAACAAAGCCGGATTTGCACCAAATTTTAATCCATTGTTCAGCTCCAGGGTCTAGGTCATCTGAAAGTGGAAATATTGAAATTGGCTCATTAGCGCCCCCTACAGACTATGTTAAAGTTTTACATGGGCTTTTTAAAATTTAGATTTGTCAAAATGTTTGAAATTTTGCACATAATTCTGTTTTGTCATCTGGATTCAAAAAGTCAATGACAACATATGATTATTTTTTACCCTGTTGCCGTGGCGACGACCAACACTCCCCTGTCTGTGTCTATGAGAAAATCGTTAAATCTCTGAAAAGTACACCTCGCTCAAACATCAAACCAGCCACGGCCGTTTCCCTAATTTGTCTGAAAATCGCTCCACATGGTGTCCACACATGGACCATCAATAGTTGCATATAGAATTTTAATTAGTCAAACGGTCTGAGCGTGACAGACCCCCAAAGTGTGGTCATTTTCATAGAGAGGTGTGAAGTTCCCATGTTATCCAATAGACCCCGTGCACTAGAAAATGCTAACTTCCGGGTTTGAGACCGGATGTACGTTCGCGCATTTCCGGTTGCGTTTGTTTGCTGCTAAGGATGGACTCAAAGAAACCCAGGATTTGTAACAGAAACGATGGCTTTACTTTTCAAAAAGCGCACGGTAGTAATAGACAACACTGTTGCGTGCCCTTGTGCACTGCTTCAGGCAGATTTAACAAACTGCTCAGTTTCCACAGCTTCCCGAAAGACCCGGATTTGCGTGCTCAATGGCTGGTGAAAATCAGAAGGGAAGGCTTCACTGTTCAGACGAGCTCAAGAGTGTGTAGTCGGCATTTTGAGACTGGAGAAATCTTCGTAGCTAAGTCAGGGAAACGGTTCCTTCAGCCGAAGTCAGTTCCATGTTTATTCCACTGGAATAATTATTTGAAAAAGACCCAGCGACCCGGAGTTTGGGAGCGCCGTCCACGTGTTTCCCAGACCGCGGTCGCAGCTGCAGAGGATGATGTCAACGCCAATGTGGACATAGTGACGGACGATGAGCCCTCCTCTGGTTGTATTGAGCTGGCTCCAGACTCTACCCCCATCATTGAGGACCACGACTATGCTGCAAGTTCATTCATTGTGGTGGACCGTATGAAATATGAAAACATGACGAGGGAGATTGAGGAGCTCAGGCAGCAGCTAGAGTCGCATCATTTGACTCATAGATTTGGGACTGCAGCGGTTTGCCTCATCACCTGAAGACATTCGGTACTACACAAGGTAAGAGATTATGTGCACGTGTGTTAAGAATGTATATGTATAATGTATTCTCAGATTAACAGTTAAATGTGTGGATTGATTGATATTTGTGTTATTGAGCGTGGCTAGCTCCGTTAGCTTCTCTGCAGACAGTAGTGACGTAGCCCGTTGTGACAAAGTGTACGAACTACTGTCAGAGTAATCTTATCCTAAATTACAAGCAGAGACTGTGTTGCCAAATGGCAGCGGCCATTCTTGGTTTGCGAGGTCCTTTTTAAATAATAATAATTGGTAGAACGTTATTAAAATTACATTCAAATCAATGGAACGTTCTACTGCTGCTGTGAGAAACTGTATCATAAATTATGATTAAATATTTGAATACATTTTAAATTTTTAATTGATAAACAAACGCGAACTTAGAATATGTTTGTGCAAAAGTCAAAGCCCTATAGGTCACTACATCATTACAACAAGATCCAAGAATTTATTTTACTTGCCATTTGCCGTAAAACCACATTATATGCTTGTTAAGGTTTTCTACTTTTAATCCATAGCCCTTAGCACATAATTATGTATGTTAAGAATATTCATTTTACTCATATTCCCATTAAATGGGCCTATAGACTCTTGTGCAGTCAAGAAAAACTAATAACATCAACTTTTTACATGCAGATTTCCATCATACGGACATTTGATGGCCTTTTGGAATCTAATCAAAGAGGCAACAAGCAGAATGGTGAGGGTCACTAGTGGTCAGAAGAACCTTTCCGACAGCACATCCACCGAGACTCCTGTGACTCGAACAACTGTAAGTTCTCCCTAAAACTTCCTTCTCTATTGCTCTTGTTGTTTGTGCAGGTGCTACCTGTTTTCCTGCTTTCTGTCTCTCTTTCAGTTTTTTAATTATTTAATCAAATTCACTCACTAAATATCCACAATTTCTACACTACATCACACTGATTATTGTAATCCCCTTAGTTTGTGTATTGTAACTTTATTGTCATCTATTAATTTATGTTTATTTTTTGTTTTCCAGAAATTACTGCCAATTGACGAGTTATTCTTGTTCCTCAATTATCTGGCTACTGGATGTACACAAAGGGACCTGAGTCATAAATTTAATATCCACAGAGCTACAGTGAGTAGGATAATTGTGACATGGTCCAACTTTTTGTACAGTTTGCTTGGATCCATCTCCATCTGGATGACAGCTGAGAAAGTGAGCGCAACCTGCCCCACAGATTTTAATGGGACTTATAGAAACACGCAAGTAATTCTGGACTGTACTGAAATGAGGTGCCAAACACCCTCCTCCCTTCTGCTCCAGAGTGAGGTGTTTTCTACGTACAAGTCACACTGTACATTCAAGGCCCTTATTGGCATGTCCCCCCATGGAGCGTTGACATTTGTGTCAGCACTGTTTGAAGGCTCCATCAGCGACAAGGAGATTTTCCGTCACTCTGGCATTGCCTCCCTCCTAACACCAGAGATGGAGATTATGGTGGATAAAGGGTTTCTGGTTGAGGAGCTTGTGTCCGGGAAAGTCCATCGCCCAGCCTTTTTGTCCAAACAGGCTCAAATGTCTGAGGTGGATGTCCTTAGTACCCAGTCCATTGCACGTCTGAGGGTCCACGTAGAGAGGCTCATTAAGGAGGGTTAAAGAGAACAAACTGTTTGACACTGTCATTCCTCTATCCATTTCAGGCAGTATCAACCAAATTTTCACTGTAGCATGTCTCCTGACAAATTATCAATACGGACCCCTGGTGAAAAAATGGATGGTTGATTAAAATGACAATTTAACAATAATACGACCCATTATTTTCATGTTTATTGTAATCAAAATGTAAATCTGTTTAATGTTAGGTATGGTGAAGTGTTCAGACTAGTTGTTTACCTTAATGTCTAATCTTTGTGTACTAATCAAATTTTTTTTTTGTATTTGTTGAGCAATGAGATTGAGTTCAAAGAAATACCAGCAGTGCCTTGTGTTTGAAATCTAGCATTGTTTTAAAAGAATAATTTTTTCTGTATTGTATGTTAATATGAATATTTGCATCCTACATTTGACAGGGCAGTGACACCCTGATATGTATGCTATTAAAGTATGTTAAATATAATTTCTTCTGACATCTATGCTTTTTGCTTTCAGAATTGCAGTGAAAGTCTTTAGCATCTTTACACAATCTATTGCTGTCTGCATATAACACAAAACTGTAGACAATGCTGTTATAGTAGGACCGCTGTATTTGTAAAGCAACAGCAAATCACTTCCAATTTTTATACATGTTTATTTAAAAATGAAAAGGTGAGCTCCAAACAATTACAATAAAATGTATTCATGTATAGCCCTAAATCACAGTCATCTCAGAGACTTAACAAAACCATTAAACAAGTCAGAATCAACAATATAAAAAAACACATTTAGGACAGTGCTATGTATTTGTCCATGTACACATGAAAATAGAACATGTCTATCTTTCGCTTCATGGTCTCCATCACACTCTCATCTCTTTGTATTCTTTGTATGAACACATCTTCTTGAGTGGAGACAACAAAATCGCACCACACTCATTCCTGAAGTAAGCAGCTGGCCCTGAACTTGCCAATAGTAGGCATGTGTGGATTTAAGCTGCAGAGTCCCACTGATGTTTTTAAGGTAAGGTGCGTCGACATAATTTTTTATGTTGGGACATTTTATTTCTAATAGGCCAAATTGAGGTATCTCTAAGGGGTCAAAAATGACTCCATCTGGTGATGCACCAATCCATGGTGCATCTGGGTGCACCACAAACCCACATTTGTAGTGGTTCACCCGCTTTATTCGAGTGTACTCCCAAATCGCATCCGCCTCTAACTCCAAGCCTCTCTTCATTGGGCCTGTCTGGTGAGTACCTTTTAAGATGCGTTCGGCCAGCAGCTCTTCAGAGGCCTTGCCCACAAAACATATTTCTCTGAAGCGGGATGCAGTCACCCGTGGCCTCCGTACATTATGCCAATCTATATTACAACTCTGCTCCCGTGTAGAACACTCAATTTTATGAGACATCTCTAGGGCTAACCTCCAGACTTCTCATGTGCAGCTGTTGTTTCCTGGAACAGACAAATGTGCACTCTGATGGCTTCAGTCTGTAATCTTGCAGTGGTAATGGTGGAGAAGGTGGAGCATGATGGAGAGTCTGAGCTTTCTCTTTGGCTGGGTGCTGATAAGAAAGTGGACTTCCTTTCTGCACTTTGCCAAACAGTGACTCCACAAGTGGGACGTCGTCTGTTATTCCCATGCTGCAGATCATAGGTCGGTCAGCTTCAGGGAAAGTATGGTAAACTTCAGATACCCGAAGAACCGAAAGGTCAGGAAGTTCCCCATGAAGGCCTCTGTACAATTTGCTCCTGGTTGTTGACAAAGAAGAAAAAAAAAAACACAATTTAAATTTGTGTCACTTTAAAAAAAAAAAAAAAAATCTAATAATGATACATCAAGCACTTACCGCACTCCCTCTGTGGTCTTTGTTTTGGGTTTGGCTGAGAGCACAGCCATCTTCTCAACAGGCCCAGGCTTAATCCCCTATTACAGTAGAAAATATATATGATACATAAAACATGTTTTATTTATGTTGATGTTATCATGTACATGTTGCTTGATCTGATGTGTGTCCCCTGCACTCTTATTGCGATTTGATGTATGAAATGCGGTTGAACTCACCATAACTCTAGGCTTATGCCATTGTTGTTCTCCTTCAGTGCAGCTTAACATCGGGGGGACAACTTGGAGTTTCAATTGAGAATAATGAGCAGATTGAAACAGAAGGGCAACACAGTGATTGCATAAAGCTTTTCCAGCCTTGCATGTGCATGCAAAGTGCAGCAGTTGCACAGGCTGCGAATCTGTTAGGACCACCTAAAAAGTACAAGATTTGTATTTAATGTTATGTAATCAAATAATATTCCTAGAACGTATTTTACATTAAAAAAATACATAATGATGATCCAACAAAACGCCTACAACCTGTAACATCACAGTTCATTATACACAACCATTTCATACTGCTTCTTTCTGTAATCATACTCTGAGTTTGTGAGCTTTCTCGGATTTCCTCATCGACCTGAAGCACTCTGCCCTGACCACCACCTCTCCTGAGCCCTGATCTTTATCAGATACTGCCAAAAACAAGAATTTTAGTATGGTTAGTAATAGAATAACATGTTAGTATTCATTAGTATAGGAACTGTAACAGAAACAAAATGTATTAGGATTTATATAATATACAAATGTTATATAAATCCTAGAAGGACAGAACGTATAATGTAGCTTTAATGTAGGTTCAATGCTAAACAGACACAAATACATTGTATTAACATTGCTTAGCCTTTATATTAATAGTTAGGCCTGCATGTTCATTACACAATAAATATGTTAGCCCCTTGCTATTGAGATGCCTCACCAATATTATTTTTCAGATGTATTATTGTGGAATTGTAGCGCAGCTGGCAAAATACGACTGCATTGTTGTTAGCAACTATGCTAATTTTGCAAATAATGCTACGTTAACAATCTTGAGGGGCGGTTCTGCTAGTGATGTTGTTTCCAAATGGTGTTTTTGGTGTTATTGGCATGTAGTAGAGAGGTTCTTAGTTGACAAAATAGTTTGATAGTTTACTATGTTTGGAGTAACCTAGTTGCTGAAAATGCACTTGCTAACACAGTATATCTGCTCAGATAACACCCTTTCTTCAGTATAGTTACATAATATTGCTACTTATAGTTAGAAATGCTGTGTTGTTGTCACTTACCTTCGAAATTATGCAAGTACTGGGAGATATAAAATTTAAATCCTTTTTCGCGTTTACTCTGAGGAGCAGGAGAAAAAGATTCTATAATGCGATGGACATCATTGATGGATATGTCTGGTAAATTTCCAAGTGACCTAGAAAAATTAAAATCTGCGTTTGCTTGAGCCATTTTAAACACCAAACAAGACCTTGAACTGAGACTCCCACCAAATTTAAACGCAGCGCCGATGTCACCGGAAATGAAGAACCGAACAGGAGTTTTCAGACCGGAAGTAGCATATGCTAACGTGCACGGGGTCTATGGAGACTGTATGGACACACTCACAGATTATATGTGTAAACAGGAGCACATTTACAAACTCAGCACTAAACTTGACTTTGTTGTTCAACTCCTGGGCCTAGGTCACATGACTGTGTGAACAATGACATTGTCCCATTAGCGCCCCCTACAGGCTGAGTAAAGGTTTACATGGGGATAAAGGTATTTAGGTTTTCAGTTGTTTGATCTCATATTTGACCCACTGAACAAACACGAAAACTCACCAAACTTTGCCATAACTTTCTGGTCCTTTATCCCCCGCGCGTCAAATTCACACCGCGGGTGCCCCGGGACCAGGGGAGTCCCTGGGTCCCACCCCCGTGTCTCTACCCTCCCTGGATCGGCTTTGAGGAGCCCGGAAAGCGGTGCTTCCTTCCCCTGGGAATGAGCGCTCAGGCCCGGGTCTGGGCTATCACCCTCCCCGGTGATAGCCCAGAACCGGAGGAGTGCGTGGGTGAAAACCCCGTGACAAGCCCTGGAAGCCGAGGTTCTCCTCCCCCAAAATGAGCGCTCTTGGGCGGATGGCAGACGCGCGGTCCCCCGGTGGGTTCCAAGGGCCATAACTTTCTGGTCCTTTATCCCCCGCGCGTCAAATTCACACCGCGGGTGGGACCCAGGGGAGTCCCCACCCCCGCGTCTGTAGCCCCCCCGGCTCGGCTTTGAGGAGCCCGCGAGGTCTCTTCTCTCTTCCGGTGTCGCAAATAATAATAAAACGAAATAATAGTAATGCCATAATTCTTTTGAGAATTTTAAACAACTAGAGCCAAAACAAACACATTGATATTGAAGCATAAAGGATTTATTTTTTTATTCAAGTTTAGAAAAGGTAAAGAACAATAAACGAATGGAAATTTTGATTTTCTGATTTTATTTTGAAACGGAATAAGTAATGATCGAAGGGTACACGGATTCGTAAGGTCCATCTACCTTCCGTTCATTCTATTTTCGTTTCTGACGTGCACATCGAAAAACAAACTCTGGGACTTTTTCTTTTTTCCATTGTTGAAAAAAAATATAGAAAAACCCTCTTCCTCAATTTTTCCGACTTAGAAATTGGTTCGAGGTGAAAGGTCTTGTATTTCAATTTTTGTTTTACAACATTCATTTTTAGGGTTTTCAGTGTGGTGGCCCGGAAGAGAAAATGTTGGCGCCCCCTTCAGTCAGTTTTCTCACTATTCAGAGGAGACCACGACACGTGCAAGTTTAAGGGAGTAAAGTTGAGTCGAAATGGACGGGCCAAACTACATTTTGTTCAAAGGAACAAAGCGTCTGACTTTAAAAGAGGATGACATGATTGCGGAAAAAATTGCCCGCATATTCCAGGTGGGTAACACCTTTCTGGTTTACTTGTAAAACATGCTAACTTTTTAAGGATGCTAACATTACAGTTTGCATACACGTTGCTTAGCAAACTTTTTTTGACATCATGTAATATAGTTATTAAGATTTATCTGTATGGCGAACTGCAATGGACAAAGTAAGAAGAGGCTGTACGTGCCGTTCATAAAGTGTTTCTATTTCAAAGGTATACGCTCCTAGCCTGTATATAACAGATGATGACAACGTCGCAATTTTTCCCGAGGGCATTTCAGCTGTTTCGACCTGCGCCTTTGTGGGCACTACGAAGTCCACGGGGACGACATCGCTCTCCCCGTGGCAGAACAGGTACCACAATCAGGGACCCGGTTCCAGTTCCAGAGAAGTAGCGCAACTGTAATGGCTGCTTTGGGATCACCTGGGCAGGCTTGCAGCACTCCCCTTCGCGCAAGCATGAACACTTCATTTCAAAGGTAGTTACTCACTTTATCATTAATTAACATGCTACTGACTAATCTCTTGTCAAATTCGTACAATAGCCCAGGGCATGCGTGCAAAGGCACCAGGATAAAGCAGGGGTTGGGCTCATGTTTAGGCTGTGCGCTTAAAAGAGAACCTAAAAAGTGTCATGTCATGTCATTCTGTGTTGTACTATGTTGCCAAACCTCTTCCACCAAGAATGTTTTATCAAATCATATTGCTTGCCATGAATTATCTGAACAATTCCTATAACAATCTCTCTAGGACTGTTTTCATTGCTGAGCTCAACCAGGGAAAGCTGAGGCCTGCCCGACTTATGTTTAGGCTGTGTGCATAAAAGAAAAACTAAAAAAGTGTCATGTCATGTCATTCCATGTTGTACTATGTTGCCAAACCTCTTCCACCAAGAATTGCTGAGAAAGGGCAGGCTCCTTTTGTGGCACCGGCACCTGCCACAGCTGATCAGTGGCATGTACACAACAAATGGCGTTTAAAACGGCATGTGGACAACAAGTGGCGTTGGCGTTTAAAACGGCATGTGGGGAATAAATGGCGTGTAAAGCGGCATGTAGGCAATAAATGGCGTTTAAAACGGCATGTGGGGAACAAATGGCGTTTAAAACGGCATGTGGACAATAAATGGCGTTTAAAACGGAATGTGGAGAATAAATGGCGTTTAAAACAGCATGTGGGGAATAAATGGCGTGTAAAACAAATACAGTTGAAAGCAGCCTGTACAAAAAACAACAAGCAGCAGTGGGGATAGTGGTCCAGTGGCTCAGATGGAAAAGCACAGATCTAAGGTTCTGATGGTTGCTAGTTCAAATCCCCAGTGACTACCAATGACATTTGCTGATGTTGGGTCCTTGGGCATAACACTTCATGGAGAATGTCAGAAGTGCCATTAGTTGTTTGAAAAATGTTGTTTGAGTTATAATAAATTATTCAATTATTCAATTCCTTTGCCTGAGGAATTGAATATGCCTGTGGCGCACTTGGTTTTTAACTGTCTCTCATGCGGAAGATTCCAGGTTCAAATCCAGATCTAGCCTTTATTTTTTTGTTGTCAGATTAAATACAAATTCAATATGTATGAATATATATTTCATACATATGACTGTGGTGGTGCAATAGTAATCCTGCATTAGGATTAATATTGCATCGTCGTTAGGGTAAAACTAAATGATGTGTAAAACACTCAAGACACAATTTTACTTAAAACCACCTGGTGAGTGGTTAGCAGGTGTGTGTCCGCCCATCATGCAAGAGTTCGCAGATTCAAATCCAGCCAAGATCAAAAACTTTTTTATGAGGGTTATATCTTTATACATATATATATATCTATAAATATCTATGTATATCTTTATATATATATATATATATATATATATATATATATATATATATATATACAGTTTTTATATAACTGCCATTAAAAAAAAAATGCTACTTTGTCAAGGTTCGATCTGCCAATTTTACGCACTATAGACGAATGTTTAATGACTGCGCCACTTATATAGTGTTTTGACAAAGAAAAAAACGAAAAGTTCTATTGTTGTTATAGTACATTTCATCAAGAATGGAGCCAACCAAAGATGGTGAAGAGTGATGGATTGAAAAATACAAGCAGAAAGTTGTGTAATTGGAACATGAGGTTTCATCTCTATATTGTTAAAATCTTCATTTCTGTTCTTGGACCGTTTAAGCTGTGTCTTATACTTTGCATTCTTTTATAAAAAAATATATGTATTACTGTAATGCTCTTTCTTATTGTTCCATGTTTCTGATGTGGTTTTATTAAAGAAGAGAGAGAAATAAAATTATTTTTTCTTTTGTTTTATATATAT